CCCCCCCCCCCCCCCCCCCCCCCCCCCCCCCCCCCCCCCCCCCCCCCCCCCCCCCCCCCCCCCCCCCCCGCGGCGAGCGGTGATACACGCCGACGTAGCCTAAATTGCAGCGCACCAGTCCCGGTCAACTGCGGCCCGCAGGTGGCCACTTAGCCCCTACCACGTAGATTGTTGTCGGTTTCAGCCGCTGACACACCGCCTGTTGACCCTCTATTGCCTCCAACGACAAGGTCCTGTTTGCCCGCCAAGAACGGTGAACGAGGAGCTTCTCAGCTGAGGTCGTCTTACCGTTTCTGCAACACACTTGTCTCGTATGACGGGTTTGGGCGGGACAGATGATACCGCAGAAGAAAGGAGAGCAAAAGCCCCGAGCGATCGTGCGATGAAGTCTTGAGACGATCAGCGTTGTTGGCGACGATCTACAGACTGTGTGTACTGGCGTGCCTGGAGTCTGGACTCGCGGTTTGAGGCTGATTCAGTGAAGATAAACAACCCCCGCATACTACCGCAGGAGAGCGGAGTGTGTGGTCGCATTGACGCAAACCCCGCCTCTTGATGAAGAACATCTCCACACGTGCTTCTGGGAATCGGGACAGCTGAGGCCATTTTCAGCTCCTTTCTCCTCATGTGCCCCAGTAGGGGTGGATTACTGTTGCTATTGTTATCGATCATTCGAAGCGGTACTCAATTATGTCGGAAGTTACGTTGCTTCATGTTGAGTCTTTTGCCACATCTCATCGCGAGCAATGTCAGCTTGCATTCATGTAATTGCTTGAGACGAGCCTTTTCCCCTTAAAATCGCTCGATCTGATCGACGCTATGAAATGATAGATGTGCTGTCTTCATGCTTCAATCGATCTTTGAGGCAACAGCTCTTAGACATGAAGAGACATGCTAGTAAAATGAGACTTCTGTCTAAGTTCTACGGGATGTGATTCCTTAAGCTTTTGCTGCTGGTAATCCTTTAAAGATGAAATACATTTTTCTTAACTCTGGAAAATGTGAGGTGTACCAGGTTTTATTCTCTGAGGTTTCCTTTTCTAGCGACCCACGGCTCACTTTCTATGGAATACTATCTTGCGTGACAGCACGAGGGGAATAGAATGGGGAACTAATAAAGACGCCTTCTTGACATGAGCTTTTCCTTCATCTGACTTGAGACTCATCAAGCCCTGAGAAAGCATGTGAGACGTGGAGGAAATGAAATGAGTTCTCCAAGTCCAATACTAAGCCGTCTAGACTATGCCTCATTCCAAGGCATTAAGTTCTTTATGAATTAAATGACACGCGAAGCTGTTGAAAGTGTATGTAGTGACGTGAAGTTTTGCCTACACGTCATAGATGTTACCTGAGTTGGCATATGTACTGTGTTGTAGGGCGCATAGAAACTCAGTCCTGCTGCGGCATTTTCAACTACCTTCACGAAAATCATTCAAGATGCGCGTTACAATGGAACTTATTGACTATTCTTGGCCCAAGCCTCCAATGCTACCGAGCACAGACGACGGGCTTTACGAGTTGCTTATTCTGTGATTCAGTTTCATACCGACAATGGCTCCGAACTCATGTTGTTGAATCATGATTCATTTGAATTGAATAAAAAGAAGTCACTTGAAAGCAGTCGGATGAGACTCAACACTGAAGACGAGTGAAAATTACTACGAGATAGAATGATACTAAATGCGCAATACAAGACGCTAAATGACTTGACGCTGGCAGCTCATTTTCACGTACTTCTATGTACTTGTAAAGAGTTCTGATAAAAGACCTTTTTCTTTCTTTTACGTGCCCACAACTAGGATGAGTCGTAGATTCGTTCCTAAGTCTGCAGCATTATCAACGAGTCTCTTTCTAGACACCAGGAATGATTGGAGGGCTTGTCTGGGCCAATGATTGCATATGGGCGTTGTGACGGAGTTGACTGGATGAGCCAACACCTCAGAAAGCATAATGCAGAGAATCGGTAGTCGTGAAAGACTACCGATCAGACGCAGCATTCAATGACTCGCTTCCTTCCACGAGAATCAGAGTTTAACAAAAGCTCCGTAGACTGCCAAGAAATCGACCCGGTAATATGTTAGCTTACATCGGGGTTTGTTTTTGGGGACTTTAGTCTGCATCAAATCGTTCCGGAAGATCGGGATGGTCCCAGTTGCTAGTCATCTTCGGCTGCAAGACGACCTAAGCGCCTTTAAAAGTCCAGCTTCTCAACTCTGCGACAGAAGAAAATAAAGCCCGCCCAGTGGTAATTAATGAGAGAAATGAAGACGGCAAAATGCGAAAAGGACTTCGGAAGACAGTTTAAATTTGCTCATTCAATACTCGGTGCTCGCCGTGTCAGTGTGTCAAAGTTACTCTCTCCAAACGGAAGTCTTCAGCAACTCCTTACCCCTTTCGGCGGCCTTCATATCGACCCAGTTGGGATGACAGCGGCGGAACAGCCGCCATGCAAGCAATCATGATCACAAAGGCAACCTGCCGATTCCAGACTTTCATCAAATCGAGAGCCAAGAGCCAAGTATGGGTTCCCCGGCATCACAGCCCCCTTTCGCAGGAATCAGAGTTCGTGTCGTGCCATCTGATCTTCGCAATCGGTGTCCTTGTTCGTCTGATTGCCCTCTCCGAGTCAGTTCGGACGAAAGACGGTTACGGAAACCTTCAGATAAACAACATCCGCCGAGCCAACAGATATAACCCACGCCTAAGCGGATAAGAAAGACGCACCCGAGGAGACCGTACGCCGAACGGGTCGCCCCAGACTGTTCATCCCCTTTTGCCTCTTTTGCGCGCATGTTTCCACTGTTTTCTCATTTTCATTTTCGACTCCAAACCTTGTCATGGATGGCGGGAGTTGGCATCGTTGATGAGCCCCGTTCCGATATTAAACCCCCCAAAGTCTAAATCGTCAACTCCGGAACACTCGGGCCACACAAAGGTTCTCTCTCTGCGTGCCCCTTTCCTCGGCGCTGTCGTCTGGGATAATATGGCATGGAACCGGGTAATAACTCCACAAACGATATCACGACTACGAGGGATGATGGGGATCACGAGGCGGGGATGGGGTTGCTATTCGCATATTGGGTCGAAAGTCTGTCTTTCTTGGCCGCGGGACTTTCGGTCTTGGATGGATCAGGATAAATAAGTCGACCTTCGCCCTGCCCAAAGACTGGCTGCTTGCTCCTCACTCTTGAAGTCGCTCTCTTTTCAAACACATACATTCGTTTTCAACATCAAAATCTCAACATGAAGAGCTTCGGTACTCTCGTTCTCGCCGCGACCGCGGTGTCCGCCGCCGCGATCAACAAGCCCATCGAGCAGCGCAGCACCGGCGCCGACCTCGTCTTCGACGGCAAGGTCATCAACTCGGCGGCCTGGGACGTCTTCAAGACCTCCGAGGTCCAGGTCGCCACCGGCACCGACGGCCTGGCCGCGCGCCAGGAGGCCGAGCCCGACCCGAACCGCAACGAGACCAACCCCGACCTCGTCTTCCTGCTCCAGTGCACCGACTCTGTAGGCTTTGAGATGTGGAAGTTTCCGTGCAAGGAGTTTTGGCTGACTGAATGACAGGGTTTCCGTGGGGACTGCCTCGTCTTTGGCGCTCCTCCTGGATCTTGCGGTATGTGAAGGGTCTGGATATAGTGGCTGGAGTGGAAGGCTAATTGGCTTCGCAGTTTCGTTCTTCAACTTCCAGGCTGCCAACTCGACCGAGGTCAGCGACCGGTTCAACGACAAGGTCACCTCTTTGTCTACCAACACGGGCGGAAAGTGCCAGTTCTACAAGTATGTGCACCCAGCATCCATCCCACAATCTCCCGAGTTCGCATTCTAATCGCCCTTAAATAGGTTCCAGGGCTGCAACAACAAGGGCGACGACCGCGGCCTCACCTCCTCTTACAACTACAACCTGGCCGTCCCTCTGCCCGACGACCCTCGTACTGTCGAGTACGACAACCAGATCACCTCTTGGAGGTGCTAGATCAGTCATATCGTGACTGTGAAATTGCCAGTTTTGTTACAGGAGAAATTGCTACGTGGATTTTAAGCGACAAGACTTCAAGGGAGAGAATGGCTATTGTGTCTACTGGGTGTATTTAACATCAGTGAAAGGCATATAAGTCACGTCAGCTTGCTAGAAAAGATTGAAATGCCGGCGCTGGTACAAATTTCAAAGATTTATGAATGACGAATGAGAGAATTGGCTGAATGATGAACCGTGAAATCCAATTGAATAGCTTCACAAGAAACGATTCAACCTCATATGGGCACCGACACCTTGAAACTCACTCAGCATGCAATAGGAAAATTCAAGTCAGTTGGTGGTTCCGTGAATCCTAAATGAGAAACATCAGAGACCGCCATTGGCGTTTTGTTTCTAGGTGTAATTTACTCATGGTGCCGCGAATTCAGCCGCCATGCATCGTTCGAGCCTGGGGCCCGTTCCAATATGAGCCGAATAGCCCATTTAATAAATATACCCTTCAGCTCACGCAGTTTAATGCCATTAAATCACGGAGCTTCCGCAAAACCCGTTGGGTACTGACGAGAACCGGGTAAAGAGAAATATTGGTGGGTGAACCACGCGCGAGGCACAATTGGCTCAACTTGATCGCATCCGAATGAGCAGATATTCCAACTGCGGCTTGAAATGGAATAGCTTTGAAACCACCGCGAGTACTTGAGTATAAAATGTTACCAAAACGCCGCCTATGTTTTCTTGGCACATAACGAGCGGCAGGCAAGCTTTTCAGAACCCTTCAGTAAGCTTAGGAAAGACCGTTCGAAATGCAGATTCTCCTCTTCTTGAGCTTATTCCTAAGCTATCATGCTTCGTCAGTCACACAATCCCCTGCGTGAGACATTGCTAAAACAATACCAGGACCGTGCTCGGCCAGATCACGCTGACCCCTTCCACGATCGACCGAACACGAAGTCCAACAGTCACCAAGACGGTCACACAGTTCGTGACAAGCATAACGACTTCGATTTCCACCACGGCAACAACTACAACAGTGACTGCCCCGGTCACCGTCCGCGAGACCACGACCACGACCACAACCGCCGTAGCGACCAAGATTGCGACCACTACGCAAACGACCACTCAGACGACCACCGCTCCGTGCTCATCCGTCACTTGCCCCAAGATCACCTCCACGGGGACCATCTGCAAGAGCTGCTTCGTCGCCCAATGCACGACCACGTCGACGGTCACCAAGTCGTGCGGCTGCCCGGGCGCTCTGCCGACGACGACTGTGGATCTCGGATGTGATGTGGACGACGTTTGTAATAAGATTGGGTGTAGGACGGTGTATGCTGTCGCTACAAAGGCATGCTAGATGGTCGGGAATGCTTATGTGGTTTCGGCATCCGTGTATGGATCCGAGAAAGTGCGAGAATGCGAATGGTTCTTCTGCGATGCACTCAGCTGGGTTTACGGTCAGATGGGCTCGTGCTGAAAGTTAGAGGATGGTCTATGTTCTACACCTAGTCGACGTCGAGATAGTCTCCATCAACACACAATTTTGTCCATTGCGTAGCCTGCGGCTCTTGCATCTACACAACAGTAAGAAACAGGAAAAATAAGATGTTGATAGCCCCATTAACGCACAACAGTCCGTTTGTTATCCTTCCAGTCTTAGCCAGTGTCTTCGCAAACCAAAATTCCAATAACCTCGGACACTGTGGCATTGCTTCCTAGTGTTTGCTCTACATTTGCTTCTCTGGTTGCCGTTGCGTACAAGCTCGATAAGAAGTCCAGTATCGAGCTCTCGACTTCTCCGTCGTATGCACACAGCTCATGTTGAAGGCGCCTCGGCACGGCATAGTATCTGCGGTCCGAGGCTTCAAAAGCGATCGCCTCCGAGTTTGGTTGCTCATAAAGCCCCCAAAAGTCTTCGGAATGTGACTCGTTGAAGACGGTGAGCTTGCGGCGAAGTCTGGGGTCGACAAGCCAAAGCCGTATCCCAGAATCAGCTTCCCATGCACAAGTCAAGAGGGTGTACATATCAGACCAAGTAACATAATACTCGTAGGAATCCAAATATAGATAAGGCGGTATACCCGTGGTTTCTTGTTCGATCTTTTGGATCTGCGCATTCCACAACGGATTATAGTTAAACGCAAAATGCGTGATCCGTTTGCCGCTCCATACTTCGTTGAAAGGCATGTCGTCGACTAGGGTAGCGAAATCATGCCAAACTCGTTGTTGAATGTAGATGAGATCGTAATGAGGATAAATCGTAGATAGTTCTTTGATGGAGTTCTGCCTCTTTTTGCCGAATGGTTTCCGGGTGAGTCGTAATCGCTTCTGATTCGCCATCTCAAACCCGAAAGCAGGTCCAGGTTCTCGGCCCGCGGATTCGATCTGCTCATCCAAGGGCGCCGATGTTTCGTTTTCGTGGCGGCGATACAACGCGGATCTTGAATCTCTGCATGCCGTCCAGAGCCCCACGGCAGTAGCGTAAGTTGACGGGTTGTTGCTGACCCATGAACATGCGAGTGCGCTTTTAGGTGACCTCGGCGGGTAGAGTCCGTAGGCATCTGGATCCGATATCCTCAAAATCGGAAGGGCGCAGCTGTCGGTTTGGTCTTCTTCTTCTTCATGCGGGTTGAACGGCGTGAAGTAATGAACGCCGCGGCAAGCCGGACGGCACGCGGCGAAATCCCAGATAGCATCGCGGAGCTCGGGTGGGAGACTGGAGAAGCAATGGAAGTTGTTAAGACGCATGTTTATTGTCGCAAGAGCCAGCAGCGTAGCTGTTAGCCTGTTTTGAGCTGTTGATATGGTCTTAGAATCAGAATTTGGTGCGTTTTCGACGCGTTGGCCAAAGAAATGGACGGCATGTCTTTTATATCCTCCGATCAAGCTATCAAGGTAGAAGTTTCAGACTGTCCACCTTGTAGGTTCAGCATGTCAACTTCCCGTGCTCAAAGTTTCACGGTTCCAACAAATGAACGCAAGGAAAGCATCAATCAAGGTAGATACAATGTTGGTAGGTGTGGAGGAATTGTTCCTCAGCCACATCCCCCTACTATGCTTTATATGACTCATCTCGGTTCGCTGAGAAATTTTGCTCCATCCATTGAGCATATACCTTCCTGGTTCCGCCTCATTCGACTTCGCTGACTGTATTCACAGTGGCGCGTCCCAAGAGATGGATGGATGCCACTCGCACTTTGAGAGCCTGTACGTCTTCAAACTTCGGCTACTGGAGGGCTGTGGGAAGTCTCTGCAATTTAAATGTCCTGCATACCTTGGATGACCGGAAGCACTTGGTTCATCATCATGGAGAGGTTATGGATGGACGGATGGAGTGTGGGGGGATGTCTCGATCACCCTGCCCTGCTCTGAGGAGTGCCCATACTGACGGTTGGAATAAGCCATGCAAATCCAGGCTGCAGCCCGGCGACGGGAGGGTACAATCCCAACCCCATCGCGCCCCGTCGTGGGTAAGGGCTATCAGGTGGATGTCACCAGTGTTACCATGCTGCGGCAAGACAGGGGCCGGGGCTATTCCTATGGGGATGATAAGTCACCTTCTGCTTTATACTTCTGGAACTGGATGTTAACTTACAAACACACGATTAACCGCAATGTACAGGTGAAGGTCGGCCAGTCAGGGTGAAGCAACGGGCAGCAGCCGGGGGCAACTTCGAGGCGGAGACTTGGCCTGGAGCTGTCAACGCGGGATGGGAGAAGTCTGTTCCATAATAGAAAACTTGGCAGAGATTCTAGCATGTGGAAAGATTGGTTATTCTTCAGCCATCAAATACCACGAGACTGTTGAAGATAGCACTTCCCTGGCGTGGATCGCAGACTCACCGACATGCCTTCTCGGTCCGAACTTCCGCGCTGTGGGCGCAAGGGCTTCCCGACCTTGTCATGAACCAAGTGGATATCATCCGAACACACCGATTAAACATGGGTTTGTTTCTTGATTAAGCGAGTACCTCGGCCTCTCCCGAATTGACGTAAAAAGTGGCATCGGCCGATGATGTTGCGATTGTTGCGATGCCCCAATATCAGGCCGTCTTAGCTACCAAGGCGGAGACCATCCCACTGGCAGATGCGACCGGAAAGGGCTAGGAGAGAAAACTTCAATCTGGGGCCCGGAAACTGCAATTATGACGGCCATTGGTCCCAACCTCCGTCGGTGAAATAGTCGGGACCAACTCGTGGGAAATGAAGTCAACACTACTGCGTTTCGATGACATCAAAGCACGGTTGCCTCCATGATTGACGCGGTTAGCGAAATCGCGGGGGCGGGGATCGTCAGGTTCAACACGACCAGACCCCGGTCCTCCCCTCACGATTCCCCGCAGTCGTCGGCACCATCAACACCGAGCGCGTCCGTCCGGATGCTACCCTGCGTCCAGGGCAGGAAAACCAGACGAACATGGGGGGTTCGTCCAGGGCGCAGGGTTGCGTTGGAACGTTTAAAAAGATGAGAGGCGCGGTCGAAGCTGGAGTGGTCCGTTCCGCTGCGGCTTTCGAGTGGTATCGCCAATTGGTTGTTCGATCGTGTTGCATCCAGTCAGGTTTATCACGATGAGATTCGGATTGAAGGCCGGCGGCCTTTTGTGGCTCGCGGCTTCGCTGCTTTCCGGGTCGCGTGGTGTTCTGGCTCAGGAGGATGTTGACTGGCCGATCCTTGACAATGGCCTCAACGAGATCGTCCAATGGTGAGTGCTACCGAACATGTTTCATCGAGGTTGACGCTGATGCAGGGGCATGCAGGGACCACCACAGCTACATTGTGAATGGCGAGAGACTCTTCGTATTCTCTGGTGAAGTATGATCTTTCTTCCCTTGGGCATCAAGACATGAAGCTGACGATTGCAGTTCCACTACTGGCGTCTTCCAGTGTTCGTTACACCATCGTCGTTGTCGTGATTGAGACTGACAATATTCAGCCCCGAGTTATGGAGAGACCTCCTTGAGAAGATCAAGGCTGCTGGGTGAGGAAATCCAGAGCTTGCTCCGAAAACCTCAAGTCACTAACAACAACCACAGCTTCAATGCCTTCTCCATCTACAACCATTGGGGTTACCACAACCCCACGCCGGGCGTCTTGGACTTTGACACCGGTGCTCACAACTTCACCTCCATCATGACCGTCGCCAAGGAGGTCGGCATCTACCTCATCATCAGACCTGGCCCATACGTCAACGCTGAGACCAACGCTGGAGGCTTCCCGCTGTGGGCAACCACGGGCGAGTACGGTTCTTTGAGAAATGACGACGCGAGGTACACCGAGGCATGGACTCCCTACTGGGCTGAGATCTCCAAGATCATCAAGCCGCATTTGATCACAAACGGCGGAAACGTCGTCATGTTCCAGGTATGTCCGGGTCAACTATGGTGACTTTCTGTACTGAATTGACAACAATCTAGATCGAGAACGAGCTCAACGGGCAATGGAAGGATATCCCCAACAGAGTCCTCAACCCACCCATCGCCAACTACATGCAACTGCTCCAGGACAGCGCGAGAGAGAACGGCATCGATGTGCCTCTGTCGCACAATGCCCCCAACATGCGTGGCTACTCATGGTCTAAGGACTTCTCTGACGCGACTGGAAACGTCGACGTTGTCGGTGTGGACAGCTACCCGTCTTGCTGGAGCTGCAACTTGAGCGAATGCACGGGAACCAACGGAGAGTACATTCCCTACTTGACCCAGAACTACTTCGACTACTTCACGGTCCAATCGCCGTCTCAGCCCAACTTCATGCCCGAGTTCCAGGGTGGCTCGTACAACCCATGGGGAGGACCGGAGGGCGGCTGTCCCACAGATATTGGTGTTGACTTCGCAAATATCTTCTACCGCGATCTGATCTACCAGAGAGTCACCGCCATCTCGCTGTACATGATGTTCGGCGGCACCAACTGGGGATGGCTTGCTTGCCCTGTCGTGGCATCAAGCTACGACTACTCGTCCCCGGTCTCCGAGAACAGAATCATTGGGGATAAGTTCTACGAAACCAAGCTCCTTACTCTGTTCACCAGAGCTGCCAAGGACCTGACGAAGACGGAGAGAGTCGGAAACAGCACGTCCTACTCTAGCAACCCTGCAATCACCGTTGCAGAGCTTCGCAATGTCGACAACAACGCCGCCTTCTACGTCGCTCGCCACTCCTACTCCCCGTCGAACACAAACGAGGCCTTCAAGCTTTCCGTCAAGACTTCCGCAGGTTCTTTCGCCATCCCCCAGCACGGCAGCTCCATCGCCATCAACGGCCATTCTGCCAAGATCATTGTCACCGATTTCGCCTTCGGTGAGAAGACCCTTCTGTACTCGACCGCCGAAGTCCTCAGTTACATCGTCGTTGATGGCAGTGAGGTCATCGCTCTTTGGCTACCGGAGGGCGAGTCTGGCGAGTTCGTGGTCAGCGGATCTACCACCGCCGAAGTAGTCGGAGAGGGCAACGTCGGCGACTTCAAGACCTTCGCAGGAGAGACCAACGTGACTGTTGCGTACACCCAGAAGAAGGGAACCACCATCGTCGACCTCGGAGACGGTTCGCGCGCTGTCTTGCTCGACCGCAGCGCCGCCTATCTTTTCTGGGTTCCCACTTTGGACAACGACGTTTCCGCTCCCGCAAACAAGACGGTCTTTGTTCAGGGGCCCTACCTGGTGCGCTCGGCTGCTTTCAACGAGACGGGCCGCAGCTTGGCTTTGGCCGGTGACGCCGACAAGGAGACGACCATCACCGTCTTTGCCTCCGAGTCGCTTTGCGGCATCACCTGGAACGGCAAGAAGGTTGAGATCACCTCGAGAGAGGGCAACGTCTTCACGGCCAAGATCGAAGGCCCTGCCAGCTTCGAGCTCCCTGCCCTCGGCCCGTGGAAGGTCCACGACAGCTTGCCCGAGATTGCCACCGACTACGAGCCTACTTCAGACTCTTGGGTTGGTAAGTATCCATTTCATGTCCCTGACGAACCCTTTCCAGATGCTAATGTCTTCCAGTTGCCGACAAGACAAACACCTCCAACACCGTCAAGCCAGCCTCCAACAACCCCGTTCTCTACGTCGACGAGTATGAAATTCACGTCGGAAACCATATCTACCGCACCACTTTCCCCACCACGGAGAACCCTCCCACCGGTGTCTTCCTCAACCTCACCGGCGGCCTCGCCTTCGGCTACTCCGTCTGGCTGAACTCGGAATACATCGGCTCTTACCTCGGCCTCTCCTATCTCGGCGCCGACGCGAGCGAATTCTCCTTCGAGAACGCCACCCTCGCCACGGAAGGCGACAACATCCTCGTCGTCATCATGGACAACTCCGGCCACGACCTGCGCGAAGCGGCCCTCGCCCCCCGCGGCATCACCAACGCCACCCTCCTCGGCCCCGACGCCTCCACCTACAAATTCTCCGAATGGAAGATCGCCGGCACGGCAGGCCGCAACGACCTCATCGACCCCGTCCGCGGCCCCATCAACGAGGGCGGCCTCTACGCCGAGCGCATCGGCGCCACCCTCCCCGGCTTCCCCGACGAGGACTGGGAGACGCTCGCCTCCTCCAACGAGACCCTCTCCGTGCCCGACGCCGGCATCCGCGTCTTCCGCACCGTCGTGCCCCTCGACGTGCCCGCCGGCCTCGACGTCTCCATCTCCTTCAAGCTCACCGCGGCCGCGGAGGACACCTTCGCCTCCACGCAGGAGGGCTACAGCAACCAGCTCCGCGCGCTGCTCTTCGTCAACGGGTACCAGTACGGCCGCTTCAACCCGTACATCGGCAACCAGATCTACTACCCCGTCCCGACGGGCATCCTCAACTACAACGGCGACAACACGATCGCCGTCACGGTGTGGAGTCAGTCGCCCGAGGGCGCGGAGCTGAAGATCGAGTGGCTGACGGACTACGTTCACACGTCGAGCTTCGACATGACGTTTGACAGCGAGGAGCTGAGGCCTGGATGGGATGAGAGCCGTCTCCAGTATGCTTGAGGCTGTGGATGATTTCGTCTGTCGGGATGGTCGATTCTGGCCGAGTAGATAGTGATTACCTGCGTAATAAAAGTCGAATTCAATCATTCTTTCACGATAAAATCCTACTTTATTTGATTCGCTGGAGCAATGCTGATTGATTGGGCGCACGTGTTTTGTCCCCCTCCTTTTATCCCCCATCCCCCATCTGTTATCTACCTCCGGCCCCGGTGCCCCCAAATTCCAATCACGGCCACCCCCAAAACACCAAGACAGACGTAATGATGCTGCAGGTAGCCGTCCGTCTAAGCATCCATCCGCCTCCCACAATGAAATCCCCCTCCCCGACGAAAATCTCATCCCCCCTCGCCCGTCCCAAATCCTTCTCCCGTTCTCGTTCACCGTGACACGACAGCATCCCCCCTCGCCCAAACTCTTCTCCTCTTCTCGTCCACCGTGACACGACAGCTGTTCCCATTTCCCGATGGCTTCCACGACAGAAACACAACCGCAAAACCTCGACCTCTCGGCCTTCCGCCGCCTCCCGGCTGAGATCCGCCTGCAGATCTGGCGCTCCACCCTCGAGCCCGACCTCGTCGCCGTCTTCCCCCTGCGCGACCTGCTCTCCCGCCGCCGCCGAACGCCCGTCATCTCGCGCGTCAACCGCGAGAGCCGCCACGAGTTCCTGCGGCTGCACGTCCGCTTCGGGACCAAGACCCGCGTCGACCAGGAGGGCTTCGTCGACTCCGTCTATCTGAACCCGAGGGTCGACAGCATTGTCCTCGGCTCCTGCAACAAGCCGGGCGTCGCCAGCGCCGGACCGCTCGTCCACGCGCCGGTTCTGAAGGAGAAGGACGCGGGGATGGTGAGGGAGGTCCGGCTGCACCAGGCCAACTTCGTGGGCACCCCGGGTCGCGGGGTGTGGGTTCCGCTGAGTTTCGAGACCGAGCCGTGGATGTCGGCGGGGGATGACGGGGTGGTCTCGGTGATGCTCGAGCGGCCGCGGCGGTTCCCGAATCTCGAGACGGTCTGGGTCGCGAGCGTGTACGAGACGAAGACGGCGTGGGAGGGTGCGGATTATCAGGGGGTGGTTGGGATCCGGGGGGCGAGCTTTCGGTGTCTGCTTGACAGGGGCGAGGTTTACGTGGCGCCTATCTCGCAGGGGGAGTTTGAGGAGGGCGTGAGGACTTTTCGGGACGGGACGGATCCTGAGTATGTTTCTGTCGTGAAGGTTGGGATTGAGCGAGGGGAGGTTGAGGATTTGAAGCTGAAGGGATGGGAGCGTGTGGTTCCTGCGGCTGACGGGGTTGGCGGTGCCGGTGCTATGATGTGGAATGTTGTCTGCGGGTATATCACTAGGCGTCTCTCGTAAGGGGATACTGGGCGTGAAGGGGGGACGAGAGGGGACGTGGTTGATGTGCTGATTGAGGATAAAGGTTCTAAGCGGAATGGGGGGCCGTTTCTATCATCATTGCTTTAGTTAATTCATCGAAGATCATAAGGCAATTCCCAGTCTAAAGCCAAAGTTGATTGATATAACGAGTAAAGCGAGAAGACGCTATCCCAACCAATGCTTTTGGCATTCAAGAAGATGTATCGAGCCACCAACGATTACCAAAGTGGCCTCCTTCGGCTATATACCAGTGTGAACCAAAGCCGTATCCCCGTCTGCGAGTAGAGATATCACGAAACCAAGCGATCCTTCCGAACCAAACCATCATTCCAAGCCAAGCCATCCTTCCAAAGCCTCCGTAAAGTTCAGTGGCTTTTCCAAATGCCGTGCGCGAGGTCTGAAGTCATGTTCGTCCGTTGAGGGACCACTCAGGTCAGGCGGAGCTTGATGTAGTCGACGCAGACCTGCCAGTTGTAGCACCACACGTCGGGAGCCTCCTCGATATCGGCCACGGGGTCGTCATCAGCGTCAGAGACCTTGTGGCCCTTCTGCTTGATGACGGCCTCGAAGGACTCATGCTTGAGCAGCTCCGCGAGATTGTCAGAGCGGTCGATCTTGATGCGGGTGAGGAAGCTCTCCTCATCGTTGAAGTGCTTCTTGCCGGAGCGGGCGTTGAGCCAGTCGCCCTCCTGGGAATCGCGGATCGGGTTCATGAAGACCAGGCCGGTCTGAACATGGTAGACGATGTCGAAGCCGTAGGCGGTCGACTCCTCGTCCTTGAGATCCCAGTCGTACTTCTCGCTGGACAGGGTGATGACCTCGAGATTCTTGTAGATGAGGTCAGTCAGGGGGAAGCGGTCGATGTCGTCGACGGGGCGGTTGGCAATGGCAGGGTCGATACCGAAGTAGCCGGCCGAGCGGGGGATGTTGAGGTCGGCAAGCCAGACCTGCTTGAGGTTGTTGACAAGGACGGGGTTGAGAGGGGCCTTGATGAGGTCGACCAGAGTGTTGAGCTCGTTGGTGTCGTAGCCCAGGGTCATGGTGTCATGGTGAGGGCTGATGTACGTGTTGATGGAGAGGATGCCGCGGGTGGGCTGAGGGGTAGAGACGCGGATGGTCGCGTACGTGGACTGAAAGACGCGGCGGATCTGGCGGTTGACGTGGGCAATGGCCGGGACGGGAGGACGGAGGGCGCGGTTGTCGAGGTCGGGGGCGACTCCGATTGTGCGCTTCCGGACTGGGATTTGCTCGATGATCTCAGCCCAGATCTCGTTGGGGAGAAAGGGGCCTTGAGAGGAGGCCTGGGCGTTGTTGGTAGCCATGTTGTTGGAAGCCATGTTGTCGGAAGCCATACCGTTAGCAGCCATGTTGGTGGTAGCGATGTTGGTGATAGCCGTGTCGTTGACAGTCAAGTTGGCGGTAGCGATGTTGGTAGAAGCCATGTCGTTAGCAACCATCTCGTGAGAAGCCATCTCGTTGGTAGCCATGTCGTTAGCAACCATCTCGTTACCAGCCATCTCGTTGGCAGAGATCTCGTGAGAAGCCATCTCGGTAGAAGCTATCTTGGATAGCAAGTTGTGTAGCAAGTGGTGTAGCAAGTGGGTGATAGCTGAGTGGTGATGTAACTTGGGTAGAGCTCGGAGGTTGTTGTTGTGGGAAAGAAGAAGTTGGAAAGAAGAGGATTGAAAATCTTTTTCTGGTTGTTTCTTTCCATAAGTAATATGTTTGCCTTGCTTAGTCGTGGAAGAGGTCTCGTGCTGTGCCCTGCCTAGTCGTCAGAAGGCCGTGTTATTCTGCTCGTGGTGTGGTTGAGCGACTCGTCCATGGCGATTCCACAAGTGCCTCTCCAGGTACCCCACCTTAGTAAGTGACTGAAGAGATTACGTTTACTTCAAGAGGACATGTTATCAGTATCAAGCAAGAATGTAGAAGTGCGTCCATCATTAACAAAGCTCTATCTTGCACAACTATAACTTGCAGGCACAATTAACTATCAGCTATTGAAGGTGGAAAAGGTCAACCTAAGAAGCCCTCAAGATACTAAGAAAGAGACAAAAGCCACAGAAGAAAGCTTAGATCAATGATATATACAAGTGTTGCAGAGAAACATGAGAAGCATCATCGTCTCAAAGGGCAAATAGCTGAAAGACTTCATTAACACGGGACTAGAATGCTAACCTTCACTTTCTCTTGCCAAAGCCTTTGAAGGCTGATAGAATTTGATGTGATTATGCACTTCCAAGTAACTGGAAGGTATGCAGAAGTTTTCACATGGACCAGACGCAAGGCAGTGAGGTTCCGGAGCCTTCCGGGGTGGACGTTGTGATGTCGGAGCCGAGCCCGGCACCTGACCCGGCCCCACCTCGGAGGCATCGCCCAACAAGGAAAGAAAGGAAAGAATCCAGCAATACCAAGATGCATTCCGTAGTCCTTTGGCTGGGCACTTTGATTTTTTCTTTTCATTATTCTATCAATGACTACATACAAGGAAAGGCAGAAGAAAGGCTCAAGTTTGGCCATCTCAGCTCATCCCAAAAGAAGCACACACTCCAAGGTTTCGAAGCTTCCTGGCACCATCTCACGACATCGCCCGCCAACATCAGATCCGGGCAATTGCAAGCCTCCTATCCCCGTCACTCCGGCCAAGCTCCGTTGCTACAAATCGAATTCGGAGTCTTATACCACGCTTGGTGCGGTCGCCGCTAGAGCGCCAGGCGGGCTGGCTTCTCCACAGGCCAGACGAAAGCGGCATGTTTTCGGCGAGTTCATCACCCCCCACGCGAGCCAGGCGCGCTGTGCTGCTGGTCCTGCTGGTCAAGTTCATTTCTAACTCATAGGTAGATCCAACTGACGAAGCGATTCTTCAAATACTTACCCATGAGCTGATGACCCGGCGCCAATGAGATACAGTCGACTTCCATCTTGTCTCGCAACGCCCCTTACAGCCTGCGCTCGCCCCCTCAGCGTCTCAGAACCAGAATGACGTGAGAGCAGAACATCAAAACCACGTCCGCCCACATCACGAACCACCAAGACCATCTCCCAGGGAAAAACACAGTCCCAAGCAGCCCGCGGGCACCGAGAAATGGGGATGAACGGGCCCTTTAAATGCGTAACGCCGTCGATTGACGTCGTGGGTGTCAGCAGTCTACACTGCCCAGTGGTCCTTACGTCCGCTAAAGCCGCGAACGTGGAACCCGACAGCGCTCCAGCGCTCCAGCGTCAACGGACTTGGACATCCATCAATGGAGAAAACTTGCAGTCGATGTGAGATATAAGTCTCGAAAAGACGTCGCAATGGCTCTCCCAGCAGCCGAATCGCATCACAAACTCCCATTTTCGATTAGCTAAAGAACGGCCTCGAACTCTTTACACAATGGTCAACGTCGCGATCGCGGGCGGCACCGGCGCCGTGGGCCGGACACTCATCGAAGTGATGGCGGCGCAGACGAAGCACAAAGCCTTCGTGCTCACCCGCAAGGTATTTCGACCTTCTCAACGAGCCATGACGAGAGCAGTATAAGATGATGAGAAACAATTCTGACATTTTGTTTCTGCAGGCCCCCAACCCTAAGGAAGAAACCCTGGCGCCAATTTACCAAGTCGACTACTCCGACATCGAGGCCCTCAAATCCTTCCTCGAAGAACACGACATCCACACCGTCATCAGCGCCTTCGGCATCACAGCGACGTCCCTCGCGACGTCCCAGCTCAACCTCATCCGGGCCGCGGACCAGTCCTCCGCCACGAAGCGCTTCATACCCAGCTCGTTCGCCATGCGGTATCCCGAGGAGTAAGCAAGCAACCCCCCGGGTCCCGAACCCTCAATCTCCCACCTCACTAACACGCGCGCGCACCACGCAGCGGCGTCAAGATCCTCCCGCCCCTCGAACACTACTTCACCTCCCTCACCCTCCTCTCCCAAACCACCCTCGAATACGCCACCGTCCTGAACGGCACCTTCCTCGACTACTTCGCCCCGCCGACCCTGAAATCGCACCACCCGCACTCCGTCATCGTCCTCGACATGGCGCACGCCGCCGCCGCCATCCCGGGCTCCGGCGACGTCGCCCTCACACTCACCTACACCTTCGACGTCGCGCGCTTCGTCCTCGCGGCGCTCGACCTCCCGCGCTGGCCGGACGACCACGAGCTGCGCGTCGTCGGGGACGAGGTGACATTCCACGAGCTCGTCGCGCTCGCGGAGGACGCCAGGGGGGAGAAGTTCGATGTCGTGTATGATACGGTAGAGGACCTGCGGGAGGGGCGAATCACGGAGCTGGAGGGGCACAAGGAGAGTTACGACAAATTCCCGAAGAAGCGGTTGCAGGCTTTCTTGGCGATCTTTGAGCTGTGGATGGCGACGGGGCTGGGGAGGGTCGAGAGGAGGGGGTCGTTGAATGAGATGTTTCCTGAGATTAGGCCGTTGACGGCGGGGGAGATGATGGAGAGGTATTGGAAGAGGGGTTGATTGGGCTGAAATACAATGGTCCGAGGGTGATTTGATCACTTTGTAGTTCGAGGAAAAGGCTGTGTCTCGGCTGTGGATGCTTGGGATACAGACGCTGGAGTTGTCTTGGATCGCGAGGTGTGACGAGTCAGTGTAAGTTTTGGTGGTTTCAATCGACGTGACAGCACTGAAGCGCGGACATCGTTACAACACCACCACCACCAACGAATACCAAAATTTCAAGCATATCTACATTCTCAGCGGCATCCGAAAAAAAGAAACCAATTCCACTTCTCATACAACAACAATTGCCAAAACAAAACAGAAGTCGTTGCTTCCACTAACTCAGCCCCCAATATGCGAGAAAAAGGCAAAAACAAATGCGACCTACCTAGGGATCGAACCTAGAATCTTCAGAGTATGACTTGAGAGCCGAAATCTGACGCGATGCCATTTCGCCAGCAGGCCCGACTGGATTTGATGACTAACACCAACAACATCGTGGGTTAAGTAGGGTAGCTAGCTGGAGCATCGGAAGCGAGTGCTTGTCCCACTCACGATGTGGAGCCTGCTGCTGTGCCGGGGTCACGGTCAATCGTCTTTGTCCTGGACACGATATCGCTGATGGTTCGCACGAGCTTGTGCTCCCAATGGAGAGAAACTAAGTGTTCGATTATTGGGTATCAACGAGAAACATTATTCAACTCTCACTCCCCCGCAAGATCCCACCCGCCTACCTCGCCGCCTCGGGGTCCCACACCGCCTCGATGATACTCATCCTACACCCCTTGGGCCTCAACACGCTCGTTAGGACGAACCGCTCGTCCGCCGCCTTGAAGAGGGCGCGGTACTCCTCCTCGTTGCGCTCCTGCGCGTTCAGCACGGCCAGCATGACCATGTCCATGCCGCGGATGACCCGTTCGTCCCACGGGTTCTCGTCCCCGGCCCGTCGTAGGCAGTGGTCCTTGATGACGACCCTCGCGCCGGGCTTCATGGCCGGGACCAGGTTCTTGAGGATCGAGACGGCGTAGGGCGTAGAGTAGTTGTGCATGATCCATCGGAAGAAGTAGACTATTCGAAGAGGGGGGATGTCAGCCTCTGAAACAATGTTTGTACGTGGATTGGCAGATCTCACCATCGGCGTTCTTGACGGTCTGCTCCGTGAAGAAGTCGTGCGCCATGAGCTCGATGCGCTCGGCGATCTGGGGGTCGTCGGAGACCGGTTTCGGCGCGGAGTCGATCGTGTTTTGGAGGTCCTGCACCACGAACTTCATGTTCTTCCACTTCTTCGCGAGGTCTACGCACACGAACCCCTGGCTGCCGCCGACGTCGACCAGCGTGCCGCCCCTGGCATCGACGTCGCCGAAGTCGTATGAGTCGACCAGGTGCCTGACCTCGTAGCCCTCGCCGCCGGTGAGACTGACCATAGCGCCGCCGAAGCGCTTCGCGCGGGCGGGGTCCTTTCCGAACGTGACGAACATGGGCTCCTTGTCTACGGTGTCGAAGGCGAAGTTGAAGCCGGTGCGGGTGAGCGAGGTGGCTTCGGGGTACGCCTTCAGGGCCTGGAGGACGTGGGCGGAGGCGGGGAAGTTGTCCTCCAGGTTGTATCCGACCCAGTCCTGCAGGGACCGGTCCTCCGCCAGCACGCGGGACGCTGCGGTGTGAGCGATCACGCCGGGGGACGGCTCGCGGAACATGCGGTTCGTCATGACATGGCGGAGGACGCGGGCGAGGTTGACGGGGTCCAGTGAGGTTTTGGTCTGGAGTTCCGACAAGGTGATGGTGCCGTCAATGGGGACCAGTTTTGCTGCGCTGTGTTAGAGCATGGGATCTGTGGATCTCGAGAAGTGTCCCTACCAAGGCCGAAGTGGTTGACGAGCTGAAGACTGAGGCTGTCATGGTACTGCCGGAGAGTTAGACCTGTCTGAGAATGAGAGAAGATCAAACTTACGCTCCACGCTTTCCATCTCACGTCTTCTCTCGGTCCGTGAACAAGGGCTTCAAGCTCTCTCGTTGCGAACATGATCTCCATGCGACTCTGTTGAATGTCGTCGGGGAGCTTCGGAAAATCGAGGGGGCCATTAGGATCGAGGCTTGGCAGTGGCAAGTCATTCGCCCTCATGTAAGTCTCCAGCTTCTCGGTCTCCGCAGCGATTTTCTTTGCAAGCTGTGTCATTCTTGACGATGAGCTTGTAGCCGCCGTTTTGGTTGAAGCATCTGGTGCTCCGTTGGTGACTCCATCCTGAGGCGTGGTCGCTGGGGATACAGAAAGGCCGTTCTGCTTCATGCCGTCGGTTTCACTGGCTTTTGGTGAAGAATCCGGAAGCGAAGAACTGTGCTTGGATTTGGTCATGTCTTATGGCAGTCGCAGTTGCTCCTATTACAATTACAATGCTGTCGGCTTCTTCCAAAGTCAGCATGATCAAACCCAGAGATGCGACAAGAAGGCTGCCAACGACTGCCAGGCTGCGACTAGAATCTCCGCAGCGCCAATTGGAGAATGAGCCATGGTGAGCTACCTCAGCGCCAGCTTCTTTGAAATGGCAACGAGCCAGCCGTTTTGCTAGGTCTATCTCCATGGTAAAGCTAGGTGCCTCTCCGGCAGAGACCCGGGGCCTAAGGCGGCGTGGGACAAGAAAGAGGTCCATGATTACTAACCTTCAATCTGAAGTCCCGGAGAATGTCGTGTCACCTGTACTTGGACAAAGGCAAAATTTGGGGCTCGATTGTGTCCCCTGCGGTGATACCACTCGGGCCGTTACAAAACGAAGAAGCCGGAGGTCTCGAACGTGGACCCGAAGGTGTAAATAGGGAATCTTCCGGGTTGGATCGCGAGAACTGCAAGCTGATACGCAAATTCAATCGCCGTCAACAATCAGGCCACCGACTTTCCAGGAGAGATGAACGACTCGGCAACGTTTCGACCCAACAGTCTGGGAAGGAATTTGTTTTAAAGGATGGACCCAGGTGTCAACATTGACCACCCCTGGACAGGAGCGGGACGAGACTGGGATGGGTGCTGAATCGTTGCGACGACATCAGCTAGCGCCGGTCCATGCTTTAGAATCCGACGCCATGGCATGGGGTTGCCGTCGATTTCTTGTTCATCGTTGGCTTCCTTGTCCTCCGTTCTCTTTGTGACTGTTGGGCTAGAAGTGGCCACCCTCGGGACTAGTCTGCCATCCCGAAGCCACGGATCGACGATCGCGGTAATGATAGCCCAAGCCCGGTCTGGCCCCGAGATGTCCGTCTCTTTTGAACGGTGTCTCCCCGCAAGGACCGTCAATAGTTGTGTCACTGGAAGTAAGTAGCGAAGAGCGCAAGAAGAGGGGCAGTCGAAAGCCAGGCTTGGCAAGGGTGTTAAATGTAGGTAGGTATCGTCGTATTGGATCGCCAGCGAATCCTTGGTTATTTTGGACTATACCCAGTCTGGGCATTCATCCAGTGATGGTGGTGTTCTGGTGGTGTGTCGATGGAATCTTCAGTCGTCCGAACGGGATACGCGGCAAAGAGATGTCGATGCAGCAGCGGTGAGTGAGAAGTCAAAGCATCCTTCGGCTGCAAGGAAGAAAAGACAGTGACAGGGAAAGAGACGGGTCGGAACGGCATGCGCTGTGGAACGCCGGCAGTTGGGCTGCAACCCCGTTTCTGGCCAATCACAGCTCTTAAAACCGGACACTTTCAGTGGATATTGGTCCACTGCCTCCTAGGGGTTCCAGCATCCTGGAAATGCACCTGCTTCCTTCATCTTTTCTTCAACAATATTTTCACTCCCATCATTGCCTTTTTCTTTCAATAGGTACCTTCAAAACCCTCGAAAAATGCGTCGATATCTGAACCCGATCTCAGCTGGAGATTCTACGGCCGTTTGACGATAACTAGGCTGTTCGAAAACCGGAGGCTGTACGGGCGTAACGGCGAAGACGACCAGGTGTCCGGCATCGCCCCATCTGCTTGCGGCAACAGCATGAACAACTTGCTGGGTTTATGATATCCACGACGCTCCATCACGCAGCAGATTCTTCACCCGATGTCTCTAAGCACTTCACGGCCTGTATCTGTGGACAATTGTCTCTTAGCATTGAGATGGCTATGTAGCTGGCGGCTTCTGCGCGTACACCACCTTCAACGGCATATACATCAACACCGAATTATCATGATACGCCTTCCTCACGTCGACGAGGAAAAGCTCCGTCTGCTCGACCGACCAGTGCAATCCCCGAGTGAAGGGCCCCAGAGCAATAGCCTGAAGCCCGTCCAGCAGGATGGTCCGCCAGTACATCCCCACCGTCTTGAGCACCCGATTCCGCGGCCATGTCCCTATCGGCACGTGGAACACTCTCTCCGTCACGTTGACGAAGCCTGCATCTCGCATCATGCTGGCCAACTGGTCCCCTGCCGCCAGTTCCAAGTCGACTCCGAGTTCCATAAGTCCTTCGCCCACCAAGCCCCAGTACTCCGCCACTGGGTGTTTCGCCGACAGCGAATTGTTTGCAGAAGCTGGGAAGTGATGCATTTCCTGCAATTCGATCCATCCTCCTGGTTTGAGATGTCTGTTTTTCTGTCAGATTGGAAATAGTGGTTCGAGAGGCTACAACTCACTCCATCGACCTCTGGAACAGAGTCTTCCAGTCTTTGATCGCCACGACGGTGTGACGAGAATGGATGTAATCGAAGTGGTTGGTCGGATACAGCCACGAGCTCTCAACATCATCGACCTCGAACTTGACATTAGGCGGCACCCAATCTGGTTGAATAGGACTGAGATCCACCCCGAGCACCGTCGAGCTAGGATACTTGTCGCCCACTCACCTGCTGTCAGCATAATCGGACCATCACCGAAAGACTCTGGAACTTACTCTCGATGGCCCACGCGCCTGTTCCCGTCCCAATATCCAGCATCTGCTGCGAGCTGTCTGAGATGGGCGCAAAGTGGAGTCTTTGGCTGAACAGCAGCTTCACCATCGCATGCTTCATGTCCTCTCGTTCCTGTTCGACCTCGTCGTTGGGAAAGTTGTACAGTCCTTCTCGAAACCGATGATACCTTCGCCCATTTTCGTACAAGAAGTCTCGCACCGACGACGCGATTGATGTAGTGGCGTTCGATTCCGTGTCCGTCTCATAGCCTCCATCGGATGGGGCCGTGCCGCCCAGCAACGAGGCAACGTCGCCGTCGGGTACAATGAAGCCCTGCGCTTGCGTCGTTGCCTCCGATGATTCCGCTGCTTGCTGTTCGGCAGACATATCTGGGAGAATTGGTGTTCCATTGGGATGGGTCAATGGCCTGATTGCCGATGGCACTTGACTTCGGTGCAAATTGCTGCTGATACTCTCAGGTCCTGATATCCTGGCGCGACCCTCACTTCCGTTTCCATGACTGGGCTCTGGCGCTGCACTAATCGACGCACCCTGCTCCCGCCGTCTGCCTCTAATTTCAATCGGTTCCATGTGTGAACCATTGGCTCCGCCAAGAAATTGTCGTCTCGAGATACCAGGCAAAGTTGATTGGGACGTGTGATGGTCAGAATCCTGAGGGCTCTCATCCTCCTCGTCCAGCGCCGCAGACCGCCCGCTCATCGCTGAGATCCCCGTTCTAGACGTCTGTGGAGGGCTAGAATCGTTCGACAGTGTTCGCCGCAGGGGGAATCGTCTTCTTCCGCTCGCGGTCAATGTCTCAGATGCTAGACAACCCATGTCCGCCGTGTATCCCGCCTCGTTCCCAGAGCTCTCTGGCTCGTCAAGTTTTCGGAACGACATGGACGTGTCGGCATCATAGAGATCCATATCCAGTCGTTTTGCACGATTTCCCCCCGGCGTAATGTCTGTCGCAAGATTTCGGCGTCGTCGCTGCTTTCTCCTCTCTCGAGACTGTCGATTCGATGTCGTAACTAGAATTGGGTTACAAGGAGACCAAGTTTCGATCACATGCTCAAACTCCCACAAGGTGTTCAAGGTTCCCAACTGAACAGGCGAATGGATCCTTTATGACGGCCCATTCCGAACACCGGCGTTGACTCCAACCCATCAAACAGTTGGGGAGCCCGAGGCCGTGCTCAAACAAACGGGAGGACCTCCGCACTTAGATCCCGCTTGGTCGCAGCGCACCAGCGACCGCGATGCCTTGGCCGATTTGTTTTCCCCAACCTTTCAGCGAATCCTGAAAGACCTTGCACGAAGATGCAAACAAGCTATGAGAAACTCCTCGCCTACATTACCGGCGCAAATCAGACGCCATTCGAAGACACTTCTTGCCATGATCGTGGGCGGCATTACTCACCACCGGTCGCGAAAATAAGCTCAAATTGTCGCCAAGGCGGGAGGATTCCGTTGTTCTCGAGCTCTGCCGGTCTGGTGTCGCCGATAGGGCCCCTGTCGGTGCGAAATCTAGTTTACGAGATTCTGATACATCTGCATTCCGAGCTGCGTCGGAAAATGAACGTTTCTGAGCTAGCTGCCTGCTGAAGGGGCCCGATTACCAGTCGCCTGATTTCTCCGTGACGCACAGATGTGTCTATCAAGTCCACTCGCAAGACACGAGCATCGCGAGCAAGTCTTTCGCGAATTTTGCGAGTGCTGGCTAACTCTCGGCCATCCGCTTATTCGTCTCCAAATGAGGGGACCCCGACAGAAGACGCATCCAAGATCACACCCTGCTTCAAGAGCCTCTCCCTTAGCGGCTCGTAGGGAACCTCCTGCATCCCGACTCCCTTCTCCAGCGCAATATCACACGCGTTCGCACACGCTTGGCCAAGCGCGTAAAACTGATGCTCCAATCGAACAGCACCTGTCATATCGTCAGCCAGATTCACGGACTTCATAGTCACCGTCTCATCGACACCTACCGTATCCCACATGCGACGAGCTTGGGCACGTTACGCTGACCAAATTCCCCGCCTCCTCCCTCCGCGGCACCAGCGCGCGGTACGCGATCCCGAAAGGGCGCCACCGGTGCCCGTCCTTGAAAATGAAGCCCTCGTTGTGCACCCGGCCGTCCCGAAGGATCCTCCGCACGCTGTGCGTGTCCGTTGGCCAGTACGCGACGGCTACCGGGTCCGGAACCTCCGGGGCCCCGTCTTGAGAAGCCGTCGCTTCTGTGACGATGTAATCCGACACCATCCGCCGCGCATCCCGTACGTAGAGCTCGTATGGAAAGTGCCCGTTGTCCGGGAACTCGTCGCGGCAGTAGCCGAATCTAGACCACTCTCTGCGTATTGGTTCCTAATCGCCGTTAGTGAGGCACGGAGAAGCACGAGAAGACTGTTCTTACCGGTACGGCCTCGTCCGTCGCGAGAAACCAGAGAAACCCCTTGGTGAACCTTGCCGTCTCCTCCAGAATTCTTTTGCGCCCCTCGTACGAAGCGACGGGCCACTCATCGTTCATCCCCAGCAAATCCGTCGACAACGCCCCCTCGCTCCCGATCAGATCCGTCTTCCCGCCAGGCAACCTCTTCTTAGGCGCGTAAAACTCCCCGCCGGCCCTCGCGAAACGCCTGTGAAGCTCAAAGTGCGCGGGATCGTACCCCTCGGGCTCCGTCAACGGGATCCGGTTCGCGGGGTCGTCCGTCAGCGGCAGCCGGTACGAGTACGACTGCAGATGCGCGTCCCCGGCGCCGGGCTGCCCGAACGGCTCCGGCGAGATGCCGTACAGCAGACCGCTGGAGGTGTCGCCGGGCGTGAGGTACGGGTCGATGTCGACGTCGATCTGGCGGTAGAGCGTCTCCGCGCGCACGCCGGCGAGGGACTCGGAGTATGTGGCGGAGGACTCGCGGCCGAGGGTCCAGGTTATGCGGGACGCGGCGAGGAGGTCGCCCTCGTAAGAGGCTTCGACGAAGATCTGAGGAAGGATTGTAAGGCGTTATCTTTGCACAACACCTGGGACGCTCACCTTGCCGGAGATACTCTGCCCGTTCTCGAGACGGATCGCCTTGATGGTCGTCCCGTCCTTGACGACTGCGTTCTTCTCAACGAGGCGAGACTACCACGCTCATCAGCACCCTCCGTCGCAAGCTGAACACACAGCAAAACCCACCTTGATGATCGTCACGGACGGGTTCTCGGCTAACCAGTCCCTGATGACCTGCTCGGCGACCCTGGCCTCGAACCGCCACACGTCGGGGTCCTTGAGCTTCCCCTCCACGACTTGGTTCAGGCGGTCCAGGCGGCCGTAGTGCCGGCTGATTCTCTGGTGCAGCTCGAGGTTGAGACCGCCGAGGGTGGTGCTGTTCTGGAACTCGGCCTGGTTGTCGATGTCTGTTGCGCCGAGGCCGTTGACTTGGATGCCGCCTGTGAGGTAGTTAGCGAACCTGATCTCGAGCACGCCTGGGTAGGGGATAGATACCAATGTGTTCCTGCGGTGAGACCAGCGCCACGGAGCGTCCGAGTCGCGAGGCCTGGACGGCGGTGGCTACGGCGCCGGAGGTCGAGCCGTAGACGACTATGTCGAAGATCTCGGGTGGTGACATGGTGCCGGCGTGCCTTGTGCCGCGAGACTGGAAGAGCAGATTGTCGAAGAGATCTGATTGGCCCGTCCGCCGTGAAAGAGTGCACGCACGCGGTGACGAGGAGGACGGACTACCGATTCATATGCTCGGCCGGAGACTCGCCGCGGGAATCGTTCACTCGCTATGATGCACGGGTATTCCGAGGTCGGGGGCGAGGTATCCACGATGTGTTTGGGATCCTGGAGATTGGGGGAGGAGGAGCACGAGCGGAGCCGACCCCGCACCCCCGGCCTCCGGATGCGGGGGGATCCGGGGGGGCTCTGCCGGTGCGGAGGTGGCCCGAGGTGATTTTGGAAAAGTGAATAGGCAGAAAAACTGGTTTACCGGGTACTCGGAAGAATATTGAGGCTGTTTTTGAACCTGGTAATTCTTGTCAGAACCGTATTCAAGCGGTATGTCTTTGGGGAAAGTATTCCCAGGGATTAAGACGCCGAGCGGGTTGGCGGAATGGCGGGGTGGGGCCGCCAGGGCAAGGTGTGGTTACGAAGGATTCGTTATGGGGTCGCGGACGTAACGCGACGTCTGGAGTTGGAAATTTTAGTCGCCTGGGTTGGGGTTGGGATTTTTTCTTGCCCCTGGTGAGATTGGATATCCTGTTGAAGGGATTGGGTGGTTGGTTTTGCTGAGAAGGCGGTTTTGATCTCTTTGCATTTACTTCGTTAGGTTTCTGTATCCTGACGTTTCTCGAATGCTCAACATATGCCTCGTCAGTAGCATTCTTTCGCGAAGAGAATATCTACTGTCGACATGGCCGTAGATGGTCTGCGACGAGACCATTCTGCATTTCCTCTCGACAACGCACGGCGTCGACCACGGCGTCGGCTCGCAGATCGCAACCGTGTCACAGAAGACAAGCCAACATCATCACCATGTGAGGCACGTGTCTTGATCGTGATCACGTTGCATTAGCGAACTCCATGGAAGAAAACACTACCGGGAACCCGGCGCCGAATCCTTCAACAAACCACTGGTTGATGATTCTTCCCAAATGCACACTTACGTCGGCAGCTCTTGAACTCCTGAACTCTTGAACGTCTGGGGAATAGGCTGACTAGCCGACCATTACCATTTGGAGATGGCAAGGTAATTCCTCTCCGCGTGTTCTTGAGTCGTCAATTGGCCCTGGACCCCCCAACGGATCCACGTATAACAAAACACGGCTCTCGTCCATAATCCTATCCCCGTCGTAAACCCCGGCTCGAAAGAGCCATCTCAACCCTGTTCATAGGTTGGTATTCTCCACGTCGTCTCGCGTTCCCCACAGCATCCACCCGCGAACCCCAAATCCCAAGTTGCGGGGGAGAGAAGCAGACGAAAGATGTGGAGGAGGAGTCGTTCCCGGGGTCCGGTTGTCGGAGTATTGCCGGCGCCTCTGGCTCGGGTATCCGAATCGAGAATCAGGGATTTCCAACAGCAGTTTAAAAAGTTGACGAGTCCCCATTAGTTCTCTCAAACATCATGTCGTCTCACCAATACCGTCGAAAGACTTTTCTCTGTGAACCTTAGACACTTCGCTAGCGGATTCCGAGAAGGATGGGTCGTGGCATCTTCGCGGGCAAGGCGGCCTTCGCCAACGCCACCCCCAGGCTGATGCTCTACTGCGTCGTATACGCCATGGGCAGCGTCTTCTTCGGCTAGTACGTGCTCCGTGTCGACGTACACATCATCTTTTTTGGTGACCAGATTCTGAGGCTGACCGCTTCCCGCACGAACAGCGATGGCGCCTCCTTTGGCGGAGTCCAGGCCATGACGCCCTTCATGAGCAAGTTCGGATCCTACAGCGCGGCGAAGAAGGCGTATTATCTCCCCAACCAGACGGCCAGTCTGATGAATAGTCTCCCGCTGCTGGGCAAGTTCACGGGGACGATCATCGTGGGCCCGATTATTGAGAAGATTGGGCATCGGAGGGCGATGTTTATCACTTGTTTTATACAGATTGTTGGGGCTATTAGTGAGTTTCGGTTCTGGAGAGCTTGGTGTTTGGATGGTTTGCTTACGATCATGCAGTTCAGGTTACAAGTAATCACGCGGCACAGTTCGTTACGGGTCGGTTTCTGGTGTACACGGCCGTCGGCCTCGTCGAGAACGTGAGATTTCCCCCCTCCCTCCACCATGCTCACCAAGAACCCCCCACTGACAATCACCCACGAAAGGTCGTCCCGACATACCAATCCGAGATCGCCCCCGCCCCGCTACGAGGCTTCTTCGTCGGCTCCATCCAGCTCTGTCTCACCTTCGGCTCTCTCATCGCCGGCATCGTCAACGAGTCCATGTCCCGCCGGACCGACAGCTCGGGCTGGCAGGTCGCGACGGCGATCCAGGCCCTGCCCGCCGTGGTTATTCTCGCCGGGCTGTGGTTCACGCCCAACTCGCCGCGCTGGCTCGTGTTCAACGACCGCTCCGACGAGGCGCTTGCCGTGCTGAGGAATGTGAGGAGGAAGGAAGACGTGGATAATGGCAGGCCCGAGATGGAGATTGCTGCTATGAGGAACGAGGGACAGATGGGGAAGAGGGAGAAGGGGCCTTGGAGGGATTTGTTCAATGAGAGGATTCGGAGACGGACTGGGTGAGTTTGAGTGCGTCGAGAGTAAGAATACGGGACTGACGAGGCGATAGGATCGCTTGCACCATCATGGCGTTGCAACAACTCACCGGCGTCACCTTCTCCAGCTCGTACGGCCCGACATTCTACAGATCCGTCGGCTTGGCAGAGCACGCCTTCGTCTACGCGGTACTTTTCCCTCCCCTTCCCCGTCCACAGAACCACACCCACTAACACATGCAACCACCCCAGGTCGTCAACAACGCCACCTCCGTGGTGACGGCCATGATGGCCATGGTCTTCCTCGACCTCTTCGGCCGCCGCGCCCTCGTCTTCCACGGCGGCTGGTCCCAGGGCGCCTTCCTGATCGCCATCGCCACCCTCGGCCGCAAGCCCAGCCCCAGCGCGCACGAGAGCAACGGCATCGTCGCGGGCATGCAGCTGTACACCTGCATCCTGCACATGACGCTGGGCCCGGGGGCGTACATCACGGCCGCGGAGGTCGGCACGCAGAGCCTGCGCGAGAAGACGATGGCGCTGTCGACCGCCCTCAACGTCGTCGTCGGCTTCGTCGTGGTGTTCGTCACGCCGTATCTCCTGGCGGAGATCGGCGCCGGGTTGGGGTATATCTGGGGCGGGTTCGCGTTTTTGACGTCGGTTTGGGCTTGGTTTTTCATGCCTGAGCTGAAGGTACGGTTTTCCCCCCTTGAATGTTTTTTAGGCGCTGCTTGTTCTCGGTTTCTGGACACGACTAACTTGGGTGTTAGGGCCGCAACCTGGAAGAAATCGATCAGCTTTTCGAGGCCAAGATCCCGGCGTGGCAGTTCCACAAGTTCCAGACGGACGGCCTCAGTCACGACCTCGCCGTTCTGGAGGGCGGAAAGGCGGATGCCAAGGTCGTGGGAGAGTTTGAGGATGTCGAGGGTGCTGCTCCGGTTCCTACGCAGGAGGCTGCTATTACGACCCATAAGGTATAACCAATAAAGAGCAGATCGGCTCAAATTGGACAGGCAGTTACTGCGCCGTAATCATAGCCCACCCATCTCACACACAATACAAAGTAACTAGTCTGAAGAATGCCTCGTGCATAGCCACTAGGCTCTCCGAGAGCCCCCGGTGAACTTCCGACTGTGATTGGTGGCCTGATGCTGACATGTTTCGGTAACCGAAATAGAACTTGGCAACCATAGGCCATTTCGGACTCGCAGTTAATAAAAGTGCAGCGCATGCTACATCGTAATCAGTCCGTTCATGATCTCCTCATGTTTCTCAATTCAACCACATCTCATGAGAGTGCGACGGTGTTTCTAGATCTTCGAGAAAGCTCCAGTTTCCTCGGAAAATGCGCCGGTCCGGCTCGTCACAATCGCTTCAATGGCCAGACCAAAGAGTCCTCAGCCCCTCCATTTCCTCAAATTCCACCCGGCGAATATCTCATCCCGACTCAGCTCAACAACTACGAGGCAATAGTTTGGACGACCACGGCGAGATCAATGATGAGCACCCCGAAGCCATCCATCTCCCTACAATCTCTACATCGGACGGGCAAAGGGGTTCTGGGAAGTACAAGCCTGTGGCTGCCGACGATAAGCTCACCCGCAACATGGGCCCCCGCAAAAGCAATTTCGCGGTGACCACCATCCTGACAGACTGTATGGCGGTATTCTTGCCCATAGCGATTCTCGTGTTCGCCATGATGGTCTGGCGACTACACAACTCCCCGGTCGAGGAAGGCTCACTCGGTAAATGGCAAAATGCCATCAATGTAGTAAGTATCTAACCGAGTGAACCCTCATACCTCGAGCCCAGTGACGGCAGACGGATTGATCATCTCAAGCTGACAAGCGCCAACTGCAGTTTGCCACCTTGTTTCCGATCCTGTTTGCGTCCATCATGGGCCGGTTGATGTCCGAGTCGGCCCGTTGGAAGCTCGAGAATGGGTCTACTGTGGGAGCTCTCGAGCAGTTGATGGGCAGTCGGACCGTAGGCTCTACCGTCTCGACGCTGTTTCAGTTACGTGCCGTCAACATCCTCGGGATATCGCTATTGATAGTTTGGGCTTTCTCACCCCTGGGGGCCCAGGCGCTGTTGCGTACATTAACATCACGGCTTGACACCGAATTCGAGTCTACGAGCGTCGTTTACTTCGATAATCGCAGCCCTTCGTGGTATGCAACCATGAGGTTCCGAGAAATACTCAACATCGGTCCCGTTGGTCCCGCTTTTGCTTCCCACATAGGATCACTGTACACAAACCTCATCGCAGCAACCACGGCAGCGAAGCTTGATACCATGGATATATGGGGGAATGTCAGAATTCCCTTCATGGACCCAAACGCAACCGTAGACTGGCACGACCTCCCTAGCGATACTAGCGAGCTTCACTACTCGTCTTTGGCTGGGGTTCCCTTACGCCATCCCACTAGTGCCAACAAGACCTTCACAATCGAATCAAATTACATGCAGTTGGAGTGCAAAAGCATCAGGGTGCATCTTTCCAAAGGGCTTCTGTCACGCATGGACAGCGATGCTCTTATAACCACGGATAACTACACCACGTACCACACGGCCGAGTTTCCAAACGGCACATGGTATGGGTACTCGCCGATGAACAGAACCGAGACGGGAGTGTCTACAACCTGGGGCATCGCCGTTGACCGACTTGTTGGCTCTTACTGGAACATCTCGTCAGACGGCTACCGACTACCAGACAGGTTTGATCCTACTCTGTTCCGCTCCCCGTCGATGTTCTTGAACGAGACGGGAATAGAGGCTAGTCCGGCAAACCTGCTTCTTCAAGTCCGATTTCCGCCAAGGGCGCGTACGCCGGAGTATCTAACAGAGTTCACTTGCGGTGTGAGCCAGAGATACGTCGAGTCCCGCGTTCGATGCTCGCACACCACTTCGATGACTTCTGGCAAACACAACTGCAGCGTCATTTCGCAGAGGCCCTCTCAAAAGAAGCACGCCCCGGAAAGCAACTCTTATTTGTCACTCCCGCACACTTTCAACCATGTCTCGAGGGAACTGCCTCTCGCAACGGGGCGGGACATGGGTGAATGGTCCGACCTTTCTTTGTATTACCTCAAGAATCCCATCACAGAGAATATGACAAGTCGTTTCGAGTTTGAGAGACGACCTGGGATACAGGATAAATATAGATCGATGCCAGAGGTGAAAGAGGGTGAAATTGGGCTGCAGACACTCGATGTCCGCCTCGGTCAATTGTTGAACACGTATCTGACTCTGAGCCAGCTGTCAAACCAAATCATGGATAGCAATTCTGGCACAAATTCAGGTCTCCGGAATAATTTTACCGCATCAGCAGATGTGAGCAAATTCGTGGAGGTATTCAACGTGTCGAAAGTATGGATAGGGCTATACTTTTTGTCTTGTATTGTCCTTCTAGTAGGAGGCGTTCTGAGCGTGGTTTTCACGCACTTGAGTCATAGTCCTGAGATGCTGGGGTATGTATCAGGCATAGTCAGGAACTCCAAGTATATGATCATACCTCCAGACACGCAATGGCTAGACGGTTTGGATCTCACAAAGCGTATGATAAGCCGGCGAGTAAGGTTCGGTTTCTTAAACGAGGTGGCAGAAGATGGGGGGCCAACAGTGGGATTTGGGTATCAGGAGAAAACAGGACGGATCAAAGACTTTGGTGGCTTCAAATAAGTAAGAATCGGATGGCTTATTTCTTTACGAGATACACTTCTGCCTATTGAAATCCCGCATATTACTTTTTTAGCAAACAGATTCCCGTTACTTTGGTCATGCAGCTCAGCTGGATTTTGTGCCCGTTTCGCACAGCGCTGGTTCATACCCCACGATAAGGTATATAGGGTTTTTGCAGTACTGCGGGACATCGGCTGGCGTGGACTTCTAGACCCTGACTACGGAAAGCCTGTTCTTGACGTTTACGAAGAGTCTATAAGAGTTCCGATCAAGTCTGGCTCCTTCAGACTTGAGTCTCTCATATTGGCGGTACGGCCTTCCAGTCCTAGGACATTGAAGGTGCACGGCTTTCCCCTTGGAGTGGTGATTTGGCGACAAGCCCTGATCCCCTGTGAGCCGTACGACAAAGAAACTTATGCCTGGCGTGAATGGCAACATGTTTCGACTTTTCGGTTATGATGTAGATGTGTAGCGTCGCTGGAGGCATACCAGGACACGTCTGAGAAAGCTGGCGAGGTCTTCTTGAGGGCTTTGATTGAACTTTCGCGAGGATCTTCGCTATGATCACTCTTAGACTCTGCATCAGAGGTGGTTCGACCTGATGCTCTACCCAAATTGCGAAAGGTCAGACGTAAGGGATCTTCTAACTCATATCGGCACAGAAGGAGTCGTCTCGCGGAAGTGGTTGTCATTGATTCGCTCGACTATTGCTCCAAGCCACGCCCTGACCCCTGAGGTCAGTTAATTGACTTCCATCGGAGGCTCTAAGAAGCACTCTGGTCCCACTAGCTGCTCATACATGATACTTGACTCGGTGTACTTGGCGTTTGCGTGGCACACCTGCATGGAGGGGGATCACGATCTAAGGGCACAAACATGCTGGAAGGGTTCAGGACGTCTAAAGATCGAAACCTTCACAACGCCATATTCCCGAGACGCGTTCCTGGGGGTACCAAAAAAAAGCTCGCGCTAGCCTATTAAACTCAAAGGGGTCGAAGGAACTTGGACACAAATGGGACGCCATCCCTTGAGCCGCCGTCAACTACAAACGGCCCAGCACCAATTCATCCACGGTATAAGCTCGTTGCGCCGGCATGTGTTGGAGAGGGCAGAATGGACTCAATACGGAGTAGAAGTACACTGAGGCAAGAAATCACTCTTATTTAATGCTTAAAACCAATACTAAATTAAGTCGACAAACTGTTCTCATTTGGTTAGTGCATTTGATTTCTAAGAGGTGTACTTGAATAGTTCGTCCGAAATGAGAACACTTCATGTAAGCTGCGCCCTACGGTAATAGCTTTTGTCTTATTCTTCGCAGAGAATCAGAGATAGTTCAAAAGTACCAATCCCAGCTCTCCTCCCAAGTCAGGAGTAATGCTGAAGGTTTCGTCGGCGTTGGGGTTCTTCCAAGAAAACGCTGGGAGCAGCAAGAAGATCAAACTATCAGAGATATCTAAGCCTCTCATTTTCGCAGCGACTACAGCTTCGTATGCCATAGTACCATCTGAATACAAGCCTTCTTCGAATTTCGAGAATTTGGGCAGAACAGAGAATATCTCCTTGATGTTGCGTTTTGTCAGTGGCGAAAACATTGCCACAAAAAAAGAAAAAAAGAAAAAAACTAGGCCGTCGGTCAGGGTAAACGCACTGCATTCGTCATGTTCTACAACTCCCGTCTGCTGGTTTTACGGGTCATGTAAGTAGCTTTCGAGTAGTCAAATCTAGCTGTATATGCATCACTCTAAGCTGTCAAGCTCGTCATCCGCCATCTCAAGGCGAAGTTCAAGTAAGAAGCTTCGCTGAGTACGTGTAACATAACAAAGGTTGGCACGAAAGTTGATATGGTCTGGTGGTGGCAATTTTGTCGATGATTTATGTCGCAGGTCCCCCTATGAGAAGGCAGTCAATTGCGATGAACGGAGGCGACTACCTTTATACCCAGTCATTTGTAGAGGGTTCAATTCTAATAGGCTGTTTTATCTACATAGTGGTATCTATCATTAGACCCAAAAGAGTTGAAAACTACACGGAATGCCTCAAAAACCGTTCATTATTATCCTAAATTAGAATCTGCGTGATTATGTAGATGCCCGCAACAAGTTTGGAAACTCGGCGTTCCTAAAACACTGCCAACGGGTTCCATCCCACTTTCATCACCTTTACTACCAAGAATGCAGCGACCGATGCTGCGTATATCACTCCAGTGAAGATTATCAACCCCTGGTAGCTCCCTCTCTGGGCAGATAGGATCTCTCCCGCAATAGGAACTCCAAACAAACAAGAAAAAGAAGCCATCGTGTAACAAGTTGCGTAATATCGACCGTAGTTCTCCGTCTTGCAGAGCTTTCCAACGCAGACGGTACTAATACTGATGTTATTACCCGAAAAGAAACCGAATACCACGGAGAAAACGATGATGCCTTCTTTGGACGAACCCGCCGGCAGCCAGATGGCGAGACAGGCGACGGTACTGAGGAAAAGGGCTGCGATATGCGAATTAAACGGGCCGACATAATCTCCCCACCAGCCCGCAAGAACTCTCCCTGCAACACTCCCTGCGTTGAGGATAGTTGGGATCTGATAAGCGAAGTCGGTGCTGAAGCCCTTGCTGACAGCGTAGCTTGAGATGTATGTGATCGGAATGAAAAGGGACCACTCGAAGAGAAATAGCCCAATCGTTGTCACTGCGAATACCGGCTCACGCAAGATTCGCAGGTCTGGATGAGGCGAAGCATTCGGGGCAGGCGGCAGCCGTGTGTCAATGAGTAGTGTTGCACAGCCGCAGCAAACCAAGACGATAAACCCAATGGTGCGGATGGACCAGCCCCAGCCCGCCTGCTCGAAGAGATATCGGAGCATAATGGGGTAAACTATTCCGCCGAAGCATCCTCCAGTGGTTGCGATGCCGGTAGCGAGACCTCGACGGTGATAGAACCAATGACCAACGGCGGCGAAAGACGGTGTGAAAAGAAAGGAAGCGCTGCATCCGTTGAGAACCCCAAAAACAAGCATGAATTGCCAGTATTCTGAGGATATGTTAGCTTTGCGGAGAGTTGGTTTCATATAAAATGGGAACGAACTCGTTGAAATGCTCAGCAACATCTGAGCCGTCACGACACCAACTGTGCCGGTGAAGATGAGCCATTTCGGCCCATACTTATCAAACAGGGGACCAACATAAATTCCGCAAAAGAAGATGAGGAACATGTACATGCTGAAGATCCATCCAATGGCGCCTTCGCTGTAGCCAGCGAGCTGATGTGTACCGACGTAGGCGTGAAGCGTTGCGATAGTGTTTGATATGCCAAATGCTGAGAAGCCGGCGAACCAGGAACCTAGAACCACCGACCAAGCTTTGAGTCCACCTTCGGGATATTCGTCCTTGGGCACTGTGGCGTTTTCGGCAGACATGTCGGCTGGTATCTCGTTCTTCTCCTCTGTAGGCCCGTGATCCCGGATGAACGGCACATCTTGAACCACATGGTTCGTCTCATAAGTCGGCGTCGGAGTCGTATTACGAGCGGTCATGATATGTGAGGTGTTTCTAGGCTATCAATGAAACGGATGCTCACATCGGAACACATACATGGACTGAATAAAAGCCACACGCTTTGCCCTTAATATAAGATTGAAATTCTGGTCACACCGGTGCTCAACCCTGCCTTAGCAGTTTGGCAGTGTTGCCCAACGAATCCTCCTCCCAAAGTGAGTTGCTCATCGCCCCGCCAATCAGAACTGAGCCGAAGGACTTCGCTGTCTACAAGTTGTGTCCATCACGCCCTGACAAGACACTTCATTTGGCTGCAGCTTGAGATGTGGGTGATATCAAGATTGACTAGGCCCGCCAAATGCCCCCATGTCACAAAAAGAAGACTTTTGTTGACCAATCGCTGTGTTTTCTTACTTATCTACCGGTCTCTTACATGAATCGGGTAAGTATCGCTGAAAGCGGCTTCGGTCTCGGCCTCGGCATGGAATTAGTCGGAGAACGACGATTGCGCCTTGAATTGACATCGGTGGGGCCGTGATCGGAAACCTTGCCCGAGATTTGGAAACTTTGCCCGAGATTTCCGGGTCGCCATTGCATAGCATCAGCGCCACTTTCACGACTTTTCTCTGAATGACACTGCGCCTAGTCTACCAAGGAGCTCGCAATGCTACTTCGAATACTAGGAAGCTTTCTGGATGGCTTATGGTCCTTTGATCTGGCGAAATTCGCCGCCGTCTTCGGATTGCTACTCGCCATCACATCGGCTGCCGTACTACGATATGGCAATATCAGCGCCACTATGTCGCTCAGGTGCGGTCAGATCACCCGCCGCCTTGAGGTGGTATGAGGAGCGGGAGCAGGGTGAGTTGGGTGAGTTGGTACAGGATCTCAACGCACAAGCTATAGCATGTTAGTGTCTATTACCAGGAAGATGTTTATAGATAACAGTTAGATGGTATATACTATATTGGTGGCTTACATTAGCATGTTTCAGGCTGCCCTCCCGTCTATCCATCCATCCATCCATCCACCCATCCACCCAATTCATCCATCATGCGAAGAAGGTGGCACTGTGGCGCGTTAGTGGGAAAAAAAAACTGTCATTATCAGGTTCGACTTACCCAAGGCATCTTGGCAGCCAATTAATTATCTTCTGATGTGAATGGCTGCGAAGCTAATGCAAGCTACTAGCGGGATCCCTAGACTAATAGTAAGACCGATCCACACACCTGGGATAGCCTTATGGCTTCTGTTTGGTTTTACGGTGTTATTTATAGCTAGAGAGATAGCTAAATACTGAGAGACGGATCACCGTTTAGATTGAAAAACAGTGGGATAGCATATACTAGCTGTTAATTATGAAATATTTTAATTAAATGAAATCTAAGGCTAAGCGTAAAAGGCTAAGCGTATATTTAAAAAGAACTATAAGAATAGAATATAGAGTGAGATTTCTATAGGTATAATGTGAGAGCTATAGAAAGGTTAGATTGTAAAGTCTATTGCAAAATCACTCCCTTAAGTTTATAGTCCCTAAGAATTATATTTATACTATTTACTATTAAATATTATCTATAGTAAGCTTGTAGGCGCTACTAGAAGAAGATGCCCCAGCTGTATAAGACAGCCTATAGATCACTTAGCAGTGTTACGCCTCCACTAGGTAGATATTAACGCGCTTTAGTGTCTTCTATTATATTAACAACTTAATAATACTAACTAGTTTATAGCGTTTCTCCTAAGTACTATTTTAAACTAGACGTTAGTAGTTATACTTAAAACCCCGACTAGGTGGGATCTTTAAAAACTATATATAGACTAGGCCCTATTGCCTCTATTCTATCCTACTAAATATAATGCTTTATAGATCTTATCTACTTAGTTTGCCGTATAGATATAGCGTTATACATCTTAGCTATCCTACTTTAGAGGTATAGGGATAAAGAGTTCTAAAAGAAAAGATTAAGGGGCTGCCTTTATTATAGATTAAGCTATCTTAAGAATCTCCCCGTCTCTATAACTAATATTAACTAATAGAATTTATATATATCCCTTTCTCTATCCCTTTCTATCCCTTTCTCTCTAAGCATCTTAGACCTATACTTCTACTAGATAATAAATAAAAGATTATTAGCTATTATTTTACTTAAGATACTACTAAGATTAAGCTAAGATATATAAATTAATAAACTAAGCAGTCTAGGCAGTAGGTTGCTTACTACCCTTTAAAATATAAATATAAAACCTTCTTATATATTATAGCTAGCTAACTAATAATAGGGTTTATATTAATAGTAAGTTAAGTAATAATAATAATAATAATTAAAAGTTATTCTTAATTAAATAATTATAGGTCTTTAAAGGTTTTAGTAATTAGTTAAAGCCTTAATAAGAGTTATAAAGTAATTATTACTTAAATATAGCTAAAAGTATTATAAGTAATAATTATAAGTTAATTACTAAAGAGCTATAGAAGTTTATTCTTAAGTAGACTTAAGTCTCTCCTATATATAAGTCTATTCCCTTTAACTTTAGGCTTCTCCTCCTAGCTTAAAGTTAAATTAAGTAAGTATCTTAAATTACTAGTAAGTGCTTACTAGGTAAGCGCTTATATTCTCTTTATTAGTACTTACCGCCTTATTATTATATAACTTAGACTATAGTTCTTCTATTCTAAAAGTGTCCTATTTATTCATAGTCCTATATATAAAAGTGTTATTATAACTGCCTAGCTCCCTATAGGCCTTAAGCTTTATTAGTCCTACCTAATAGGTCGTAATATTACGTTTATAAGGTACTATACTTTTGCTTTCTATATAATCTTCTCTCTATACTATTTACTTTTATCTTTCTAAAGATTTATTATAACCTCTATAATAAAGCTTACGTTCTTAGTAATAGCCGTCTAGTAAGTCTTACTAGTTATTATAAGTAGGTTAGGGCAACTAACTATATTATAAGTAAAAGCTTTAGTAATAACGACTCTAGCGTTATTACTCCCTATTCTATACTATATAGGTACGCGCCTATAGTAACTAATTATAGTAGATATAATACTAGTAAACTCCTAAAATAAGAAATATAATAGCTATAAACGTTATAATCTTATAGCTAAGATTATAGAAGAGTTTAAGCGTTAGGGAGAGTTTAATTCTATATTACTTAAGGATTTAAAAAAGCATCTAAAAGAGTTATATAAGTTAATTATTATATAGTCTCTTATTTCTATCTAATATATATAGTAGAATCTAAAGCTCTAGGGCTTAGTGCTACTTAATACTAAGGATTATTGTATATATTATATAACCCTAGGGTAATCATAATTAGTAATAGTTATAGCATAGCGGTTAGTAGAGTATTAGTAATATCTATCTTATCTATAGTGGGCTTTAACCTTAATAAGGCGGCACTAAGAGGTTTTCTCATTCCTTTAGGGGTACTTATACTTAAATAGGGTGTAGATATAGTTTTAAAGTGCTTACTAGATAAGGATAAAGTATAGTATTACTAGTTATTTAGTGCGTATCTATATTAGAATAGTACGTACGTAACTATATAACTATAATTCTTAAATTAGTACCCAGCCTAGTAATATTATAGCTAATTAAGCTACTAATAGTAAGAGAAACCTCTCTCTATAAGTTAAAGCCTAACTAGATTAACACCTAAAGTCTTTTTAGCTAATTAAAGAAAACGTTAACTACCTTAATATAGAGTAGAGTTAAAAGTCTAAAGCCACTTTAACTATATGCGCATCCCAATGCGTCTTCTATTCTATATTACCTTTTCTTCTATATCTTATAACGTTTATAAATAGAGGCTAAATTATACGCTTTTACTACTAATCTATAGGGTAGAAGTATTGCCTAGCTCTAAGAGAGCTTTATAGCAGTTTACTAATATAAGTTTCTTAGTTCTTTAATATAATTCTAGTACTTTAATCTATATTATCTCTTAATATAATAAATAGATATTAATAATAATTAAATTAGTATTAATTAATAAGCTTAGCCTAGCTAAGGTTTTTAGGTATATATAAGTTTATAAGAGCTATAGAAAAAGGGAGGTAGTAAGCCTTATTATTAATATTAAATAAGAACCTTATAGAGATATCTAATAAATAGTAATAATATCTTAAATCTACTATAATAATACTGAACCTTCTAGTTATAAGTCCCTCTTTATAATACCCTTATAGTTTTTTAGCTAGAAGGGTAGCTAATAGGGTATCTCTATTACGTTATTAAGTAGATATAAGAAGCTAGCTATCTTAAGCTAGAAGCCTATTCCTTATCTTCCTTCTTTATTACTATATTTAAATCCTCTAATATATCTTCTATATCTTCTACTTCTAATATACCTAAGTAGCTTAAGTATAGCTCATACTATAAGCTATAGTAATATTAGCTTAATAATATAATTATTAATATAAAGATTAATATTATTAAAGGCTTTAACTTTAAGAAGCTAAATTATACCTATTAGCTTAAAGTTATTTATTTTACTCTAATATATTTAAAGTAGGCTATTAGTCTTAACTATATTTTAAAGGGCTATATTATATATACTTAAGATCTCTATAGTAATAGTAATAGTATTACTACTAAAGACTAAGATCTTAATAGAGTAAATATAGTAATAGATATTAGTCCTATTACTTATAAGCCCCTTATAGGCTTTTTAAAACTAGCTAAATAGCTTAAGGCTAAGAATATATAAGTTGTATAGATCTAGATTGCTTTAATATATTAATAGCGTTACTAATAGTATATAATAGAACTACTATAATAGTCTTAAGTACTAGAGGTAAGCTAAAAGTCTTCTAAAAAGTTTAATTAATAATAATATATTAGCCTAAAGGCTATATAGTTAAAAAGGTTAGTTAGTTAGTAAATAGTAAAAAGGAGTAGCACTAAAGAAGAATTCTAAGGTATTAGAGATATTTTAGTAAAAAAGTCTATTATTATTATTATTATAATAGGGGAAGTTAAGCCGTAAAGTGACGAAATAGCGGCTAAGATAGAAAGGGCTTATATAT